TTACATGAAGACTTCAACATTCAGTGAAGCTCAACATCAAGAAGACAAAGATTCTCATCACTTGGCCAATTGATGGACCATGATGGATGGAGAAGTGATTGAGGTTGTTAACAATTACAGTTTGCTCAGCTCCACAATCAACACTCTTAACACAAGCAGTCAGGAAATCAAGAGACAAATGTATTGAGAAAATCTGCTGCCAGGGACCTCTTCAGATTACTGAAGAACAACGATGTCGGTCTAGAAACTAAGGTGTGCCTAATCCAGGTCATCTTCTTCACAATTACTTGCTATGTGTCAGAGAGCTGAACAGTGACTAAGGACGACAGAAGAAGAATCGATGCCTTCAAATTGTGGTACTGGAGAAGAGTCTTGAACATACCATGGACTGACAGGAAAACAGATAGGTCTGTCTCGGAGAGGGTGAAACCAAGTTTCTTCTTGGAGGCTAGGATTTTGATGCCCCATTTCACTTACTTTCGGCACGTGGACAGGAGAGACTGTTCTTTGGAGAAAGGCATCATGCTCACAAGGGTGGAGGGACAGTGCAGAAGAGGAAGACCCTGCATGAGATGGACTTATACAGTAACCGGGGCAATGGGGGTTGGTGTGTTGGAAATAGTAAGACTGGCTCAGGACAGGCAGGGTTCAGAGCTGCTGTACATAGGGTCGTTATGGGTCACAGGAGACTCGGTGGCACATAACAACAACAATGTGCTACAGTACAGGGTAAACAAAAAGAAGAAGATCCTCAGTGAGGAGGATAGACACAGTGGTTACTACAATGGGCCTCAGCAAGATAGAGATCATGAGAATGGCACAGGATAGGGCAAAGTCGTTCATAGGGTTGCTATGAGTCATAGTTGAATTAATGGCATCTAACAACAATGCTACATATACAACAAATGGCACTAAAACCCTTTCCACTGGGAACTTCCAATGCGAGGTTCAAATTCTTTGAGATACTTGCACATCCAAAAACTTCTCCAACAGGGTAAAAAGGGAAGCCACAGACTGGGAAAAAGTATTTGGTAATGACATGTCAGATAAGGGCCTTATATCTAAATTCTTTGAGATACTAGTTGCAAAGACTGGAGTACTTCATTATCTCTTTTATGTCTTAATTGTCATATATTTAGATTTATAATAAAATGTATTTGCAAGTGTAATTCCTTAAGCAAGTATAATTACCCTTATGTAAAAAAAACCAAACTGGTGCTATTTGACTTCACAGTTCATTTAGAACATGTCAAATTTGATGTTATTACAGAAATTTATTTTTCTTTTTGGAAATTTTCAAGAATGCCTTTATAAAAAGTGTGAAGAAAGAAATGTGTATCTAATATTTCTAATGTAGGGTAAGACTTTCCTAAGCTCTCTTACATAATCTTAATATAGTTGCTTTCTCCACTGTTTATATTATGGAGGTTTGGTGATGCAGAAAATTAAAGGTTGAGCTGCTGATAGGCAGGTTGATATTTCAAAGCTACCAGCTGCTCAATGGGAGAGAGATGTAGTAGTCTGCTTCCATAAAAATTTGCAGCCTAGGAAAGCCTATAAACAATCAGTTCTATAATGTTCTGTTAGGTCACTATGAGCTAAAATGGACTTGATGGTAGTGCTCTTGCGTTTTGTCTTGTTTATATTAGCAGAGAAGTCAGCAACTGTCTGTGGTTCATATAGTTAGCTAGAGTAGCTTTGAGGTATTTAAAAAGTAGAATCATGATTTTCCCTGATATTTTCAAATAAGTGAGCAAAAGAGGAGGGCCAATTTGATCTTGTCATCAACGAATCTAGAACTGATAATTTTGCTTCATAGAACCATACCGGTAAATGAATTTATTATTCTTAAATAATTTACTATCTTGTGCCCTGGAAGCTTTATTTGGCTTTCAGCTCTTAATCTTGCTTTTCTTAAAATGATTGGTGCCTGATATAGTGTAGGTATACAGGATCTTTTTTTCATGGTGACTTACAGTTAATGAAATTTCTTGTTGTACAACATGCTCTTTTTTCCATAGTTCAAAACATTTATTACATAATTTTTTATTATAAGTAAACATAAACTAGAAGTTTTGTTACACTAAGTGAAGGACGGTTCATATTTTTTAAAGTGGAGAAGAATAAGTTTGGGATATTTTCCTTCAAACCAACAAAATAAAATGAAAACATAATTAAGTTAGAGTTGCAAATATGTTTTTTAAGAGGCATAAATGCAAGTTATATACATGGATTTCACCTGATGGTATGCATAGGAATCAGATTGATTACATCTGTGGAAAGAACTGCTGGAGAAGCTCAATATCAGCTGTGAAAACTAGACCGGGAGCTGATTGTGGAACAGACCACCAACTACTCATATGCAAGTTCAAGCTGAAGCTGAGGAAAATTAAACCAAATCCACGGGAACCAAACTATGACTTTGAGTCTATCCCACCTGAATTTCAGAACCAGCCCAGGAACAGGTTTGAGGCCTTGAACACTAATGAGCAAAGACCAGATGAGTTGTGGGAGAATATCAAGAGTATCATGCAGGAAGAGTGCAAATGGTCACTGCAAAGACGGAAGAGGAAGAGAAGACCAAAATGGATGTCAGAAGAGACTCTGAAAATTGCACTGGAGTACAGAGAAGCCAAAGAAGAAGGAAGAATTCAAGATACTAAAGAGTTGAATAGAAGATTTCAAAAGGCAGCGCAGGATGACAAAGTAAAGTATTACAATGACATGTGCAAGGAGTTAGAGTCAGAAAATCAAAAGGGCCGAACTCACTCAGCATTTCTTAAGCTCAAAGAACTGAAGAACAAATTCATACTTTCGGCAGAATATTAAATGATCCAGGAAGTACTAAAAGAATATGGAAATAATATACTGAGTCACTGTATAGAAAGGAATTGGCAGACACAAAAGAATTTCAAGAAACAACATATATGCAAGAGTCTATGTGATGAAGGAAGAAGGAAATAGCAAAAAATAAGGCCCCAGGAATAGACGGTATACCAATTGACATATTTCAGGTAACAGATGCTGCCCTGGACGTGCTCAGCAAGTTGTACCAAGAAATCTGGAGAACAATCACTTGGCCAACTGACTGGAAGAGATCTGTATTTGTTCCCATCACAAAGAAGGGTGGCCCAACAGAGTGTGGAAACTATAGAATAATATCACATGCAAGCAAGGTTTTGCTGAAGATTATCCAAAAATGCCTGGAACAGCACATCAGCAGAGAACTGCCAGAAGTCTAGGCTGGGTTTAGAAGGGGTCGTGGAACTAGGGATATTTTAGCTAATGTTAGATGGATCTTAGCTGAAAGCAGGGAATACCAGAAGAATGTATATCTGTGTTTCATTGACTATGCAAAGGTGTTTGTGTGGACCATACAAACTGTGGCTGACTCTGAGAAGAATAGGAATCCCAGAATACTTGACCAAGAGGCAGTCGCTAGAACAGAGCAAGGAAACACTGTATGGTTCAAAATTGGGAAGGGCGTATGCCAGGGATGTGTCCTGTCTCCATATATTTTCAACCTGTATGCAGAGCAGATTATCTGGGAGGCAGGGGTCTATGAGGAGAAATGTGGCGTCAAGATTGGTGGAATATCGGTCAACAATCTGCGTTACGCAGATGACACAACCCTGCTTGCTGAAACTGAAGAGGACCTGAAGCGCTTGCTGCCAGAGGGTAAAGGACTGCAGCTTTCAATATGGATTGAAGCTCAATGTCAAGAAGACAAAGATTCTCACCACTGGGCCAATTGGCAGCATCAGGATGGATGGTGAAGAGATTGAGAATGTTCACAACTTTAGTTTGCTTGGCTCTCTAGTCAACACTCTTGGCACCAGTAGCCAGGAAATTAAAAGACATATTGCCATGGGAATTTCTGCTGTTAGGGACTTCTCCAAAGTACTGAAGAGTAATGGTGTCCCTCTAGAAACCAAGCTGCATCTGATACAGGCCATGGTCTTTGCAATCACTTGTTATGCATCAGAAAGTTGGACAATGACCAAGGAGGACAGAAGAATTGATGTCTTTGAGCTGTGGTGCTGGAGAAGAATATTGAGAGTACCATGAACTGCTAGAAAAACAAACAGATTCATCCTGGAAAGGGTTAAACCATGTAGCTCCTTGGAGGCTAGGATTCTGAGGTTCCATCTAACATACTTTGGACATGTTATAAGGAGGGACCAGTCCTTGGAGAGGGACATCATGCTTGGGAGGGTAGAGGGACAGCTCAGGAGGGAAAGGCCCTCTATGAGGTGGATTGATCCAGTGACTGAGGTAATCAGAATGGGAATGTCAGAGACAGTATGATTGGCACAAGACAGAGCAGTTTAGGGCTGTTGTACATAGAGTCACTATGAGTCACAAGCAACTCGAGGGCACATAACAACAACAACAGCAACCTATTAGAACAAATAAAAGAGGAAAAATCACATGGATTTTAAAATACAACAGACAACTGTCTTAATCATCATAACTTGTCATTTTCACCCATCTGCTTTTTTTTCACTAGTCCAAAGGTTACATTCAAATCTGAAATTATCTTGTTTCTAAGATAATTTAGTCAACTCATACTTTCTCTTTCACTTCATAGACATAATTTCTGGCAAACTTTGCAATATCATCTAGATACCCTGTCACCCTATATTTACTGAGGACTTATCTATGTCAGTTATGAAGCATCATCAAAATGGCCTCAACGAAAGACCTAATAAGAATATAATGACCAGTTTGTTTTAAAATACATTAAAGAAAGACAGCAGTGTCTCATGAGAAGTGACATTCTGTAATTACCTCATTCCTATCAAAAGAGAAACCATTCCCAGAAATTAATGAATACAGCAAGAGTCTATTTCCTATCTTAATTCTATCTTAATTGCAAAAGTGGATCAATTAAAAAAAAAAACACAACAACACTGGCAAAGCCCCTCTCTTAAAGTTTTGTCCTCCAATTCCTTAGCATCAAATCAACATATATAAACAAGCCATGAACTTATTTTTACCTTCTGAGAGGAGATATGCCAATTCCACCAGCATTGCCCCCATGAAACAACCAAATGCATTGAACAGTGACAAAAAAAGCATAGACGTTCTTCTGATGCTTCTTGGAACAAATCTGTATGATAGAACAGCCACTGAGAAACAAGATCAGAATTTAGAATTATTTTTCTTAAAATGCCTTCATGGATACTGTCTAAATGAAAGTCAATCATACCTTAAAGTTTACTTAACGAATCGAAATAGGGTTATAGTAAGATACATTTCAGTTATCATCATATCTTATAGGTGCCTTAAGGGTTAAAGATCCATATTAAAGACAAGTGTACCTTGAAGTTCACTGGAGGACAAAATTAGAGTTGAATTTTTCTTAAGGCTACAGTAGTAACATAAAGGGAACTCTTGTGGTCTAATGGGCTAGGAGTTGCACTGCTGACTCAAAGAGTTTGAATCTACTAGTTGCTCCGCAGGAGAAAGATGGGCAAACACCTCCTATGCAATTTACTGCCCCTGAAAACCTGCTGTAGAGTCGGCTATGAGTGGATTCCAACTTGATGATATATAACAACAGCAACAAGAAGGGGAAAAAAACCCACCTTAGCAAAATATATACAGCTTTTAAAAGAATTTGATTATTTAATTGGGTGTTTTAATATATTCATTCAAATTCCACCCCAGGTTGGTAATCTGAATATTTCTGATGAATTTTGAGTTGAAGTGGATAATATCATGATGATTTATTAATGAAATCTATGATTCTATGTAAATGATTAGATTTCTCATGGAGATCTCGAATTTAGATGGAAAAAACTGGTATAGTAGTAAAAAATTTGGACTCTGGAGTTAATATTTTGCTGAAATCCCAGGTCAACTCAATGTCTTTCTCTATAATAAAGAAACCTCACTATACAGAGTTACCATGAGGTCTGACTATTGTGATGCACTTAAAGTGTTTAGCACAATTCCTGAGTTCTCGGGACTGAATAAAATGCTAATTTTACCATATCAAATAGCATGTGCTTTTGCACAATGTTCTGCAATAAACTAACCTGTTTAAGGAGAGAGCACCTAGAGAGACAATAACTCAAGCATTGAGTCTCAAAGATGGTTGTTTTCTTCCACATCTTCTTGAAGTAGAAGTGGTAACAATGATGGTAAAAGTTTGGAAGAGGAGAGCTCTGGTGGCCTAGTGGCAAGGAACTGCAACTACAATCCCAGAGGCGCACGGTTCGAACCCACCAGATGCTCTGCCGGGGAAGGAGGGGCAGTCTCCTCCTGTACCAGTCAGATCTGATTTGACGGTACATGCACACACACACACAAAAAAGTTTGGAAGAAAAGCCTGGCACAATAGATCATGTGACTTTCTGACTCAAAGTCACTAATACCAGTTTATCTCAACTCACTAGTGCTTAGTATATTAATCATATGTATAGCACTTTGTTTTTAATGACTTTCAATTTTCCTAGAGTCATACCGTGTACATTCAAAATTCTGATTATTAATGGATGTTTGCAGCTGATTTTCCTCATGTTTTAATATCTTTCAATCTGAGGAAGTAATTTCTCACTTAGTTTACTTGTTTTTGCCGCCAAGTAAAATTTTGCAAGTTATCGTCATTTTAAATGAACTTACTTATACATAGTCTGTTGCCATTTTTAGCTGTCATCTCAAAAACAGACTCACTTCTGTTCAGTCAGAATGCCTGATCCTCTAGTGGGCTTTTTTGAGGCATGAAATGAGATTGCCTATCTTTTTTCATGGGAGCCTCTGGTTGATTTGAAGCATAAAATCACCACTCCTTATGAACTATGTCATCAGAGTCCCAAGCTCGCGTGTTGCCCTGTCTTGAATCATCCCCATGATTGTTGTTGTTGTTGTTATGTGCCATTGAGTCCCCTGTGACTCATAGTGACCCTATGCATACTAGCTCTGAAACCTGTCATAATCTGAGCCAATCTCATCGTCTCTGACAAACCCAATCCCATTTCTCCAAGCATAATGTCCCTCTCCAAAGATTGGTCCATCCTGGCCATGTGCCCAAAGTATGTGAGACAAAACCTCAAAATCCTTTCCTCCAGGGAGCAGCCTGCTTTCACTCTCTCCAGGACAGATCTGTTTGTTCTCTTTGCAGTCCATGATATGTTCAACACTCTTGTTCAGCACCACAATTCAAAGACATCTATCCTTCTATCATCCTTTGTTATTGCCCAGCTCTTGGATGCATAGCAAGCCATTGCAAAGACCATGGTCTGTATCAGGTGCACCTTAGTCTCCAGACTGACATTGTTGCTCTTCAGTCCTCATGTTAGTGCCGAGAGGAACTACTGTGATTCACCAAACCTGTCTTCAAATTTCATCTACTCTGGGAGCCCTGTTGAAACCTTTTGAGCATCCTAGCAACATGTAAGACTCTTTGACAGACAAGTGATAATGGCAATTGAGATGCCTTGGCCAGGAACCAAACCCAGATCTCCTGCATGGAATGTGAGAATTCTATCATGGAACCACTAATACTTCACATGCATAGTAGAAATATCTTCATGTTCCTTTCTGCATTGACTTAGCATTTTGTTTTTATTTTCTGCGTGTCGTGCACATGTTTTTATTTATTCTTTCAATAAACATTTAAGGGATTGTGCACAAAGGTATCAAATATTAAAGGTAGAAAAGGGTTTTTTTTTCCCCTCCCCTGAATTTAAAACTCCCAGAAGGCAGGGAGTTTATATATAATAATTGCATTGACAGTTAGGCACTTCATACCAGAAATAAAATTCCACTTGGCAGCAGGGTGCAGTGAGCACCACAGCTCTCCTATGCAATGGTGTTCAAATCATTAGAAGTGAGTGAGAGACCAAACCTTCTAGTTTTTAAAGGAAGGTACAAATTAGTACCAGGTAAATGCCAAAGAGGCTTTGGAAAGAAATGATTCACAGTTCCAAAAAGGAACTTCGCTTATAATCTTTCCTCTGTATAAATATGAGGAGACAAGCAATGGGCAGAAAGACTAAGTAGGCCTATTTCTTTTACTGAGAAAAAGCAGAATGTACAAGCCCATTATTACTCTGCTCGTTAATTATTAATCCTATGCTTTTCTCTTGCTAGAACTTCTGGTGCAGTATATAATTCATGAACACACTTTGCCAGCTCTCTGCCTGCTGGTTAATCTCTCTTTGGTGTCATTTTAGTAGTTTTGAAAGTCTCCAGTTCCCTTTTATACGCCTTAGCATTTCAAGTCCTAGTATCTCCATTTGCAGGCATCTACTTGTGTGTTCTGATCTTTTTTCAACTTTAGTGATCATCAACTTGGTTTGTTAGCCTCCAAGATCCCTCTCTGAGCCCATTATAAGTAAAGCTATTATCAACAGGTCTGTAACTATTCTAACAGTTTCATTTTACTGTGAAGACACAGCGAAAAAAATTATTCAGAGTGTATGCAGAATCTGGTCTTCTTGCCAAGGAGAGCTGAAATGTGTCTCCAGGTAGCAGCTGGTTAGTGTTTGTAAAGATGCTACATCATAGCATATGCGGAACCCATAAAACCTAGGACCGTCGCCACCTTTCTAAGGCACCTGGTACTGGGGACTTATTGTTGGAAATGACTTTTACTCTAATTGTTCTTAACAGTTAAAATGTGTTTACTGTGTTTGGTAGAAAGTTTTTGTGAACATATGGAGAACAAGACTGCATGAGTTTCTGAAAATAGATCTACCTCTTAGTATAACTTTCAGACCATTATTTCTACCTTGCTCCAAAAAAGCTCTAACTTTGAATCTCATCTGCTATTTTTTGTGCCGTCATTTGCCAACCTGTATGACAGTTTTATTGATTTCTCAAAGCTGTTGGCATGGTCAGGTTCTCTATACATGCATTAATCTATTCCTTCCTTAACCCTTATTACCAGATTTCTTGGGTTTAGAAAAAGATGTGGCACTAGAGACTAGTCAGATGGACATTGTGTCTAACCTTGAGAAGAATGGAAATCCCAGAACACTTGATTGTGCTCCTGTGAAATCTATACTTGGACCAGGAAACAGTCCTCAGAAAAGAGCAAGGACACACTGCATGGTTCAAACATGGGAAAGGAGTGTGTAAGAGATGCATCCTGTCTCCATACCTTTTCAATCTATATTCAGAATAGATCATTTGGGAATCTGGGCTTCATGAAAAGGAGTGTAGCATCAGGATTGGAGGAAGATTAATCAATAACATGCATCGTGCAGACGACATAACCTTTCTCGTGGTAAGGAGGAACTGAAACATTTACTGTGGAATGTCAAAGACTAGTATTCAATATGTGCTGACGCTCAAAATCAAGAAGACAAAGATTCTCGCCACTGGGTCAATTGGCAGCACCATAATAGATGGAGAAGAGATTGAGGTTCTTAACAATTTCAGCTTGCTTGGCTCCACAATCAACAATATAGGCACCAGCAGTCATGAAATCAAAAGACGAATTGCATTGGGGAAGTTTGTTGTCAGGCCTAAAGAATAATGATGTCAATCTAGAAACCAAGGTGTGCCTGATCCGGAACATAGTCCTCTCAATTACATTCTATGCATCAGAGAGCTGGACAATGACTAAGGATCACAGAAGAACAATGCCTTTAAGTTATGGTGCCAGAGATTATTAAATATGCCATGGACTGCCAAGAGAAAAACATGTCTTTTTTTGGAGAAGGTGAAACCAAATTTCTCCTTGGAGGCAAGTATTTTGAAACTCCATCTGACATACTTGGGGTGACATACTTTTCCAGGAAGGACATCATGCCTGGGAGTGATTAGTTCATTGCTTAGTGACATTCTGAAACTTTCATTTCTATTTTTAAGTAATCAACCTAACTAAATGTACATCTAAAGCTCTGGTGGTCTACTGACAAGAATCTGTGCTGCAATCTTGATGGCATGATGTTTGAGGTCCCCAGCTGCCCCACTGGAGAAGAATGGCCAATTCTGTGTGATTAACTGCCTCTGAAAACCCACTCGAGGGTCAGCTATGGGTCGGTTCTGACTCTACAGTACCCAACAATGGCATACCTAGCCAACTGTACATATAAACTTTTTATAAATAAGGAAACTTAAAATTAATAATCCTTTCATAAAAATTGTATTATGAAGACATAAAATCTTCAAGTTTCTGCTTAATTTGCTTTCAAGTTTTTTGTTACTGCTTTTTGATTGAAACTAAAAATAAAAAATTATGGATGGGTTAAAAAAATAATATATCTTTTTTCAATTGTTCTAATATTAGTTTGTGAAATCATTAGTCTATTACTCACAGGCTGGATTTACCAGTGCTTCAGCTATACCAAGTAAAACATACTGAAGAATGAGATGGAAGCAGGGCATAGAGGAAACAATGAGAACATTGTCTGAAAGAATTTGCTCCATTGGAGGAAAGTCTTTTCTGTGAATTTCCAAAAAGCCAGCTATCATCACAGACAATGCAGCAGAAATGTTTCCAGCAACTAAAGGGGAAAAAATACCAAAGAAAAAGAAGTTAATGATAGTACTAGAACTCAGTATTACAGAACCCTAGTGTTTCTTGAATACATTTCCTTAACAACACTATTATCATTATTTTCTCTGAGGATTTATAGGCAGTAGCCAACTATGTTGTATAGTCTAGGGCTTCAAATAAGTTTTAATTGGGTAGGTAATGGCCAATGACATGAAATCGGAACAAACTTGTTGGTTTTAAAATCTGGGTGATACTGAATGATTGCCAAAACACAAAAAATTGCTCTTGGATACGCTGGAATGAGAGGTTTATAAAAGTTCTGGTGAGTCTTTTCAGGAGCCTGATGTGGGCTATTGGATAATTCCTAAGCTGGTATCAAGCAGCACCCATTCAAAGAAGTACAATTGGTTGCCATCTTTGAGCAGGTCACTGTTGTTGTCACCTCTACTGTTGGAGAGATTTGTTTGCTATTCAGTGTACACACTGCCCTTCTTATCTTAGAGGCAGGTTATTTTTTTCCCGTAGGTGTCCACCTGTAATTCCCCCTCCGCCCCATTCTGATTACCACCTAGTATGCTCACATTTTATAAATTTGGGTATATTGTCACTTTACTTTGTTGGCCATTACTGAGATAGGAAGAAATGGGTCAAAGTTCTGGTACAAATATCTGCTGCTTGAACTTTGGCCTTATATATAGGTCTATACTAACAATTTCTTAGTTGATTAGTTATATAACCTCAGATAGTAACCTAAGTTCATTTTCACTTTCCTCAGCTTTAAAATATGAAGCAATGATTATTATAGCCTGTCAATATTAACTATATGATACAGTAATTGTTATACTTTTTTGTTTTATAAAGTAGTTGTGATATTTAAATAAAATAGCACACTGGTATTATAAATGTTCCTGGTAGTAATTACTTTGGAAACTAGGGAAAGAATTTTTAAATTTTATCTACAGAGGATATATATTATCCTAAATAATTTTTAAAGATAAATATGAATAAAAAGTTACTTGAGGAAAACTTTAAATAAAATAATTTCTTCTTATAACTTAAGCCATTATTTTAAAAATGGCTTTGAAATAACATGAGGACATTATAAATTTTCAGATTTATCTGACATTAGTCTTTGCATATAAAGAAAAGCAACTGTTACAGAACTTAAAGATTAGAAACTTTTGTTTAAGGGGAAAAAAAGCTTAAAAGGATAAATAGCTAGATAAAGAATAAAATGGAAAAAATTATTCAAATAGTAGTCCAGTTCTTTTCTTCCTTTTGTATAAGGGATTTGAGTTGAAAATGTGTGGGAATTTTGTTACAGGATTTATGTCTACCAGAACAATTGTATTTCTCAATTTGTCATTCATATTACTGCACTTAATTCCTTTGTTAAAGTGGAGGCAAACTTTAGCTTGGCAGTCACATTTTGCTAACTTGCATAAAATTTTAGATAAGGCAGAACTTTCAATTCAGAAAAATCAATCTTGTATTTAAATATCATAGTGTTTGTTTTGGTTGATAGAGAAACTGGTAGGTAAATTTTGAGATTTTTATCTCACCATTTAAATGTATCAGTAGAGGCTACTCTTTACTGAGTCCCCAAGAAATGAAAGATGTGGGGCTAGTGAAAAAAGGAGGAAGTCCTAAATAATAGTTTAAAAATTAAGGCCATAGTCTTTGCTATTACTTGCTATGCATTAGAGAGCTAGATAATAACTAAGGATAGCAGAAGAATAAACAGGTTTATCAACGAGAGGGTGAAACCAAGTTGCTCCTTGGAGGCAAGGATTTTTTAAGTTGCATCCTACATACTTTGGGTGTGTTGCCAGAAGGGACCATTCTTCAGAGAAGGACATCCTGTTTAGAAGGGGGGAGGGGTGGTGCTGGAGAAGAAGACCCTGGGTGAGATTGATTGACACAATAACTAGGGTAATTAAATTAGGTGTGTCAGAGACAATGAGACTAGCTCAGGATATGATAGAGTTCAGAGCTACTGTGCCATAGAGTTTCTATGAATCGCATGTGACTTGACAGCACATAATACTAACAATTACATAAGTTACTACTATTTTAAATTCCATAAAAACTGATTCATAATAACCTTTTTGTTGTTGATAGGTACTGTCTAGTCAAGAATAACTCATAGTAACTCTTTGAACAACAAATATGTCCTATCCTGTGCTCCTCTTACCATCTCTGACACATTCAAGGCTATTACTGCGTTCATTGTATCAATCAATTTTTTTCAAAATCTTCCTCTCTTTTATTACCCTCCATATTTCCAAGCATGATGTCTCTTTCAAATAGCTTCTCTTGGCAACCTGCTTAAAGTATGTGAGCTAAATTTTCTGCCATTCTTGCCTCCAAGGAGTATTCTGGCTATATATTTTTCAAAGTGTATCTGTTTGTTTTTTGAGTCTGTGAAATAGTCAATACTCTTCTCTAAAACCACATCTCAAAGGCATCAATTCTTCATCTGTCATCTTTACTCATTATCCAGCTCTCAGATGCATAGTAAGTGATTGAGAAGACTAATTCAAGTCTTTAAATTGATATTGTTGCTTCTCAGGAATTTGGAGAAGTCTCTCACTTCAGACTTTCCCAATTCAATACATCACCTGATCTCCTGAATTATCATACCAAAGACGTTGACTATGGATCTAAGTAAGAGGAAATCACTGACAATATCTATCTGTTGTCCATCTGTTTTGATGTTGTGTATCAGTGCAGTGCGGAACATTTTTGTTTTCTTGATGTTGAGATATAATCCTTTCTGAAGACTGTAGCCTTTGATTTTCTTCTGGTGTTTCAAGTCTTCTTTATTTTCACCAAGAAGGTTGTGTCCTCTCCAATCCTGAAGTGAAATTCTTGTTCATGGAGATAAGTTTCTCAAATTATTTGCTCAGTGTACAGATTGAATAAGTGTAGATAAAGGATAAATTTCTAACACACACTTTTCCTGATTTTAAACCATGCAGTGTTCTTCTGCTCTGTTCAGGAAACAGCTTCTTGGTCTATGTTTTGTGAGCACAACCAGGCTTTCTGGGATTCCTTTTCTTCTAAACATCTATAGTTTATTATCATCCACACAATCAAATGCCTTTGCAAAGTCGATAAAACACAGATATTCTTCTAGTATTTTCTGCATTTAGCCAGGATCCATCTTAGCAATGATATGTCTGATACCGCAGCCTCTTCTAAACGAATCTTAAATTTAAACAGCTCTCTGACAATGCACTGTTCTAGCTGATTTTGGATGATCGTCAGCAGTATTTGGCTTGCATGTAATATTAATGACATTGTTCAATAATTTCCATTCCATTGGATCATCTTTTTAGGAATAGGAATAAATATGGATCTCTTCCCGTTTTTCAGCCAAGAAGCTGTCCTCTAAATTTCCTGGCATAGACTGGTGAGCACATTCATGGCTGCATCAGTTTGTTGAAACATGTCAGTTGGTATTCCATCAATACCCGTGGCCTTAGCTTTTTATTTAGTTTTTTTTTTTCTACTACCTTCAGTTTTGCTGTACCTACTGCTGGTTCTTTTTCATATCATACATTCTGATACTTTTCAGGGTCAACCAAATATTTTTGGTACAGATGTTTTCAGAGCTCCATATATTCCTTCCTTCTTTTGATGTTTCCTGGATCATTCAAGATTTTGTCAAGAGCATCCTTTAGTATTACAACTTGAAGCTTAAATTTTGTTTTTAAGTTCTTTTAACTTTAGAAATGCCAAGTAAGTTCTTCCTTTTTTATTCTTCAACTCCAGCTCTTTGCACATTTCATTATAATATTTTGCTTTGTCTTTTCAAACTGCCTTTGAAGTCTTCTGTTCCTCTCTTTTGCTTCAGCATTTCTTCCCTTTGTCTTGGTTTCTTGATACTGTAGTGCAATTTTAGAGCCTTCTCTGCTATTCATGAGGGTCTTTTCTTCCTCTTCTCTCTTTGTAATAACTTGTTGTAATTGCTCGTTGCTCTCTTTTTTGATATCTTTGATGCCATCACATAATTAATCTAGTCTTCAATCATTAGTGTCCAAAGCCTCAAACTTATTCTGGAGATAATGTTTAAATATATGTGAGATAGACTTCAGAATGTACTTTGGTTCTCAAGATTTCTTTTCCTTTACTTCAGCTTCAATTTGAACTTGTAATTGATGGTCTATTCCATAGTCAGCATTGGCTTGGTTTGACTGCTGATACTGAGTTTCTCCAATGATTCTTTCCACAGATGTTGTCAATCTGATTCCTGTGCAGTCCATTGGGGAAGTCCATGTGTAATTTGTGTTTTGTTTTTGTTGTTGTTTTAAAGGCATTCAATAAATTATTGAATGTACAAAATTCAATGATTCACTCTTCAGCCTCATTTCTGTTACTAAGACCAAAGTTTCTGGCTATCACTCTTCCTCATTGTTTCCAACTTTTTATCAATCCTAGTCACCAGTAATGTGACTGGAATAAATGCACCTTGAATGCATAGTTAAGTAGGGATTGTGATTCTCTGAAACAATATAAATTTCACATGAAATATGTCTTTAAATTCAAATGTGTTGTATACTTATAATTATCTAGATTACTTGACACATTACACATTCAGAAAGAAAATGAATATGTTCATTCAAATTAATATTTACCAATTCCTGATTTATGCAAGGCCTTAAAGAGACTTAGTTTTATCTAAATTTAAGTGTTTTGCTGTTAAACAATGGGTAGGTTGTTCAAGCACCTCCCACTTCCCCTTCCCCCACCAGTGACTTTACTGGAGAAAGACTTCGCAATCTATGTTGGTAAGGAAAACAGTATGGAAAACTTTATTGGAAGTTCTACTCTATCACATAGGATTTTTCGAATTGTAATAAACTGAATAGCATCAACCAGCAGCAATAAGAACATATTGGAGATGAAGTCCTCAGTTACTGCAAGGAGTGAAACATTTGGACACTAACCAAGGAGGTAATGGTTTGAATCTACCCAGAGACCCGAGTAGAAAGGTTTGGTAAT